GGGGTGAGCGCCAATTGCTCGGTCCCTGCTCCTGCCAACCTAGCAGTTCGAAAGCACATCAAAGTGCAAGTAGATAAATAGGTACCACTCCAGCAGGAAGGTAAACAGCGTTTCCATGCGCTGCTCTGCTTCACCAGAAGCGGCTTAGTCATGCTGGCCACATGACCCGGAAGCTGTACGCCGGCTCCCTCGGCCAGTAAAGCGAGATGAGCGCCGCAACCCCAGAGTCGTCCGCGACTGGACCTTATGGTCAGGGGTCCCTTTAACTTTACCTTATGTTTTTATATACGGTGGTACTTTGCTAGTAGAACGGCTTGGCTCCCGAACAAATTGGCTCCTGAACCCCGCAAACCCGGAAGTGACTGTTCCAGTCTGAGAACATTTTTTGGAAGCTGAATGTCTGAGACGTGGCTTCTGTAGCTTCTGATTGAGTGCAGAAAGCTCCTGCAGCCAATCGGAAGCTGTGCCTTGGTTTTTGAACCACTTTGGGAGTCGAATGGACTCCCAGAACAGATTAAATTTGAGAACCAAGGTACCACTGTATGTTGGAAACTGCCCAGAGTGGCTGGGGCAACCCAGCAAGATGTGTAGGGCATAAATAGTAAAATTATCATTATGGAATGGGACGTCCCTAGTTTCATCAGAGAAATGTTGGAGGGTATGTGACTGTCCCTTATAATTCCAAGTCCAGGCAGCCCCGTTTCAGGAAACTTTTAATGTTTGATGCTGTATTTTGTTGGAAGCTGCCCAGAGTGGCTAGGGCAACCCAGTCAGATGGGCGGGGTATAATAAATACATCATTTTTATATTATTATTATCCTCACAGAGGCTGAACTGCCAAATCGTTGCAGATCAGTCAATTGCTGTGTGAGATGCTTTACAACCTGAAGGAACAATATGATATACAGTGGTACCTCGGGTTAAGTACTTAATTCGTTCCATAGGTCCGTTCTTAACCTGAAACTGTTCTTAACCTGAAGCACCACTTTAGCTAATGGGGCCTCCTGCTGCCACTGCGCTGCCAGAGCACGATTTCTGTTCTCATCCTGAAGCAAAGTTCTTAACCCAAGGTAATATTTCTGGGTTAGTAGAATCTGTAACCTGAAGCATATGTATCCCAAGGTACCACTGTACAGGGCTTTTTTTCAATCAGAACTCACCAGAACTCAGTTGCAGCACCTCTCAGGTGGGCTCCCATGCCACTTTAAGAGAACAAGGGAGGTGTTCATGGTGAGTTCTGGCACCTCTTTTTCTAGAAAAATAGCACTGACGATACAGACACTCGCATCATTGCAATAAACGAAAAAGTTCTTTCTACCCTGTAAGTTATCAGGTGAGGAGCTTCAACCAATTGTCTTGTGGGAATCTTGATCTTTCTTTGCTGGATCAGAAAACCACCCACTGGTTTTGTTTTTGTTTTTAAAAAATCTATGTGAAACGAGACGGATACGTTAGCGTTGGAGTAGGTAAATTGAATTCTCTCCCCCCTTTTTAAAGTAAAGCGTTAAAGCTGCACTCTAAATCAATTAGAAGGAGCCTCAGGCCAGTCAGGAAACTGATTAATGAGAAACCATGCATGTTCCCAATAAGGCTAAAAAGCTTGTTCCCACAGCATACAAACATCAGGAGCTGCCTTATACTGAGTTGACAGCAGCTGGATAGCTCAGTTGGTTAGAGGGTGGTGCTGATGACACCAAGGTTGCAAGTTCGATGCCCATATGGGGCAGCTCCATATTCCTGCACTGCAAGGGGGTTGGACTAGATCAGCCTTTCTCAACCTGCGGTTCCCCAGATGTTGTTGAACTACAACTCCCATCACCCCTAGCTAGCAAGGCCAGAGCTCAGGGATGATGGGAGTTGTAGTCCAACAACATCTGTGGACCCGCAGATTGAGAACCACTGGACTAGATGATCCTCATGGTCCCTTCCAGATCTACAGTTATATGAAACATTGGTTCATCTAGCTCAGTAAGGTAAAGGGATCCCTGACCATTAGGTCCAGTTGTGGCCAACTCTGGGGTTGCAGCGCTCATCTCAGTTTATTGGCCAAGGGAGCCGGCGTATAGCTTCTGGATCATGTGGCCAGCATGACTAAACTGCTTCTGGCGAACCAGAGCAGCGCACGGAAATGCCGTTTACCTTCCCGCCGGAGTGGTACCTATTTATCTATTTGCACTTTTGACGTGCTTTCGAACTGCTAGGTTGGCAGGAGCAGGGACCGAGCAACGGGAGCTCACCCCGTCGCGGGGATTCGAACCACTGACCTTCTGATCGGCAAGTCCTAGGCTCTGTGGTTTAACCCACAGCGCCACCTTATCTAGCTCAGTACTGCCTACAAATACAGGCAGTAGCTCCTCAGGGTTTCAGCCCTACCTGGAGATGTCAGATTCGAACCTGGGACCGTAGGCATGCAAAGCAAATGCTCTACCGCTTCATTCGTTCCAGCTACACAGCTCCGAAAGAGAAGCTGCCAGTTCCCCAATAGGATCCTCAGCTCTCGTGCCTGTAAGAGAACATTTGAGAGGTTTAGCCTTGGGTATAATTCTGATTTGCCTATTGTATCTCTGTCTCTCTTATGCTGAGCAACAGGAGCATGGCAGGCAACAATTGTGAGCTATCAAAAAGAGGCCTTAAGAGCACAGCTAATCCCCCCCTTAATCCAAATTGGATTAATTATATTCGGGAAGAAGATTTATATTTGATCAAGAGCTAAGTGGATTGAAGTGGATTGCAAGATTTCATGGTGTGCTTTTTGGTAGGGGGAAGGATCGGCAATCAGGAAAACAACTTCACTGAACAATGGGAAACCTGTAAAAAAGCAAAACAAAGCGTTCATAAGTAGAGGAGTTGAGATGATTGGGCTGGCTCTCAGCTGCTTTTTGCTAATAGGGTAGCCTCAAAGCACCCGCCTCCTAGTTCATCTCCAACATTAAAGCCACCAGAATGGCTGAGGATCCAGAGAGATTTGGAATGGAGGCTATTTGTTTGGGGTTTTTTATTTTTGTCTCCAGCACCTGCTGGGCCCAGCTGAGGGAGGCTGGACATTCATATTCCTTCTGCATTGCAGCGATAAAAACTACAGCCATGCATTTAAAGGGGAATTTGCTCGCATCATGCTGTGACACAACTCTGAACCTCTCAACAACCACCTCTGGGGACTTTCAATAGGTTGCCATTTAGGAAACCAAGTGAGTCTGGTGCAATTCATGCTGAAAAAGATAGATATAGAAGGAGAATTGCTGGATGCCAAGTTCCAAGTTTAGGGATCTTTGGAGAGAGAACCCCAAGAGAGATATAAAATCGCAAAGCATGGAGACATAGGCTGTTAGACATTTAAAAGTTTTGAGTTCCAAAACTTCATTTATTTATTTATTTATTTATTTATTTATTTATTTAAATTAAAAATTAATGATAAATTTCCAAACCTTCCCTCTTTCCCCAACATAGGTAAAAGACTATACACTTGGTAAGTTAAAAATCATTTACTTACCAACTCTCCAAAGGTCAGGTTCATTTGCTTTTCCATACAGCATTCAGAAAAGCTTGCACAGGCAGCAAAACTTGTCTTAGTTACATTGGTGAAAGTTCCTCACTTATTGGGTTAGGAATTCAAACAAAAGCTTGTTAGAGCCATGTGGCCTGAGCTTGGAGCAACCAGCTCAGGCATCTTTACGTGCTGAATTTCTCAAATAGACTGAGGTACAAAAACAGGCTTGATTACTTTCCTCCCAAGGTGAGGGGAAGTAGCCTAGCTGAGCCTGGCAGGATAACTTACTCTGTGACGTTAACCCCTTCATGCATGAATTAAACTTAAACATGTTGGTCACATGAGGCTGCTTATCCCACCATTACAAAATATCCAGTGAAAAATTCGGCCACTGGAAATAGCATCTGGGGGGGATTTCCGAAAATTGATAAAATGTCCAAGAAAACCCAGGTGTACGGCATAACATTATTTGGCAAGTTTCCTTAAAAAAAAAAAAAAAGGGTCAAACTTTGATTTTTTTTGTAGATTTTGCGGAAATAGCTCAACAACTTTGACGGGGGGGGGAGGGGAGCTCAACAACTTTTGTGTCCAGATTTTCACTCTCTGAAATATGGCAACCCTATTTAACTTGGATGCGGAAAGCAACAGTTCAGGAAATGGAACAAACTGTCGTGTGAATGCAGCCTCAGTTCCATTCAGAATAAATCCATTGGAATGAATGGGTCTAAATTAAGGTTACCAGATTTTTTTTTCAAAGAATCCGGGAACACTTTTTTTTTTTTTAAGAGAAAAAAAAGTAATTAAAAAAAAAAAGAAGTAATATATTCTCTTCTGTGGTCTCCTCTGTCACGCGGCCTTCCTCTGGGCCCTGGACTTCTCTCTTGGAGCACTATCTGCCATGAAGTAGGCTCGGGTGTTCTCTCCTAACTTTCCTCCTCAGTGGCGGCATCGGCAGGGCAAGGTTGGGGCTCCCCTCTTTTTTCTCCTTCCTCTCTCTTCTTCTCCTTCTCCTCTCCTCCTTCTCTCTGTGTTGGCTCTGGGGTTTTCCTGGCCCCAGAGCACCACTGGGCAGTCAGCCGGGTGCTCTGGTTTCCGGCTCGATTTGGGTCACGGGGGGGTCAGTGGTTCCCCCAGTTGACGGACCGGGAGTCCCCAGTTCCCCCTTGGCAGTGGCGGCAGCAGCGGCAGTCTCAGCAGCCCGGAGCCAGCCTGGTAGCGCAGTTGGCTCTGGCTGGCTTCAGGAGCTGCTCACTGCTGTGGCACCCACCATTTTGCCTCGCCAGAAGTCCCCATATGATGTGTCTTTTGCTGTTGAACCAATCACACAACATTCATTCCTTACTAATAAATCTACAACACTTAAAATATAAATCCGGGGACATTAAATGAAATCCGGGACAGATTTGAAAATCTGGGGACTGTCCCCGGGAAACGGGGACGTCTGGTAACCATAGCCTAAATCAGTCATGTTCATTCATTTCCCAGGGTCCACCCTGAGTCAGGTTAACATGGAATGCAAGCCTGGAACAATAACAGGGTGGAGGAGGAGGAGGAGGAGGAGGAGGAGGAGGAGGAGGAGGAAGAAGAAGAAGAAGAAGAAGAAGAAGAAGAAGAAGAAGAAGAAGAATCCAGAGAGCATGTTGAAATCTGCTACAAATGCAGTTTAGAACACATTTAAGAAAATGAAGGCCAAAATCCACCACCTTCTCCTGTGTCGTTGATTGTCTGTGTCCCCCACAAAGATTAGGGACGAGATGGGGAGAAGTGTGACTGGATTCGGCAGGCAGAAAAACCATCCCTTGCTCTTTTCCTCTGACAAAAGGAGCAGCCGGCAGCCTCCAAGCAGCTGGTTATCTCCTCCGATTGGGTAGCACACGAGTTTCATTACTCCTTATCACTTAGCTTGATACCGGCGCGAAGCCAGTGCGATCCAGGCGTGGGAGCCTATCTATTTTTATAATGTGTCCTCTCTGTATAAATAATCCCTAAGTATATAGTTAAAGCTCCCCCTCTTGTGCCTTATACTCTCGCAAGAGAAGGAACTCGATGCAGGGTGAAAAGCAGGTGTCTCCAGTGAATGACAGAGGGCTTTTTCGTGTGGGGCTTCATCTGTCAGGGGCAGATTCCATTTCGAGGGACATGTTAAGGCTCCTGTCAACATCGGAGGGAGGCCTGGGGTGGAGAATCAGAGCAGAAGGAACCCAGAAGAAGCAGAGAACACCCCCCCCCAGGCCTCCAGATGTATAATAATAATAATAATAATAATAATAATAATAATAATAATTTATTTATTTATTTATTTATTTATTTATTTATACCCTGCCCATTTGGCTGGGTTTCCTCAGCCACTCTGGGCGGCCTTCAACAGAATATCAAAATACAATAGTCTATTAAACATTAAAAGCTTCCCCTTTCACACACCTTGGAGACGACTTCGAATCTCTTTGAAAACCCAGGGGAATTTTCAGAGGATGGAGGAAAGTGATGTTGTGCCACACAGGAAGCACTTGATATGTAAGCGGCAGAGAACCTCAGGCCTTATAACACCAAGACCATATAACACTGGTCCTGAAAGACCTACATTGGCTCCCAGTACATTTCCAAGCACAATTCAAAGTGTTGGTGCTGACCTTTAAAGCCCTAAATGGCCTTGGCCCAGTATACCTGAAGGAGCGTCTCCACCCCCATCGTTCTGTCTGGACACTGAGGTCCAGCTCTGAAGGCCTTCTGGCACTTCCCTTACTGCGAGAAGTGAAGCTACAGGGAACCAGGCAGAGGGCCTTCTTGGTAGTGGCGCCCACCCTGTTGAACGCCCTCCCCTCAGATGTCAAGGAAATAAACAACTACCTGACTTTTAGAGGACATCTGAAGTCAGCCCTGTTTAGGGAAGTTTTTAATGTTTGATGTTTTATCATGTTTTTAATATTCTGTTGGGAGCTGCCCAGAGTTTCCCCAGCCAGATGGGTGGGGTATAAATTATTATTATTATTATTATTATTATTATTATTATTATTATCCTCTAAACCTCTTTCCTTGGCCCTTAAGGCTTTGATACTCTCTTCAACACTCTCTGGAAACAAGAAACCCTGATAACACTTTACTGAGGAAAGTGAACCAAAAAAGCATATAACTTGAGGGTAAAGGAACAGGGACCAGTTCTATCTTTTAGGGCAGGCCTTGTTAAGAGCAAAGTTAGGTTCAACTTCACATTCACCGGAAAGCACCTCCCCAGTTACACAGCCAATCAAAGCACATGCTACCTCACTAAGGATCATGCGCATCCCTGGTTGCTAAGCAAAGTAACTTTGGCCTGTTCACTTATGGACAACTGAGCTAACCCTGAAGTTACAAACTGAATGATCCATGCTGTTGCACCTCCAGCAAAAAATGCCCTTTGGAGCAAATGAGGTCCTTTACCAGGTCCTTTACCGAGAAAATGAAGATCATGGCCACTGGTCCCATCACCTCCTGGCAAATAGAAGGGGAAGAAATGGAGGCAGTGAGAGATTTTACTTTCTTGGGCTCCATGATCACTGCAGATGGTGACAGCAGCCACGAAATTAAAAGACGCCTGCTTCTTGGGAGAAAAGCAATAACAATCCTAGACAGCATCTTTAAAATTAGAGACATCACCTTGCCAACAAAGGTCCGTATAGTAAAAGCTATGGTTTTCCCAGTAGTGATGTATGAAAGTGAAAGCTGGACCATAAAGAAGGCTGATCGCCGAAGAATTGATGCTTTTGAATTATGGTGCTGGAGGAAACTCTTGAGAGTCCCATGGACTGCAAGAAGATCAAGCGTATCCATTCTTAAGGAAATCAGCCCTGAGTGCTCACTGGAAGGACAGATCGTGAAGCTGAGGCTCCAATACTTTGGCCACCTCAGGGGAAGAGAAGACTCCCTGGAAAAGACCCTGATGTTGGGAAAGATGGAGGGCACAAGGAGAAGGGGACGACAGATGATGAGATGGTTGGATAGTGTTCGCAAAGCTACCAGCATGAGTTTGACCAAACTGCGGGAGGCAGTGGAAGACAGGAGTGCCTGGCGTGCTCTGGTCCATGGGGTCACGAAGAGTCGGACACGACTAAATGACTAAACAACACCACCAGGCCAGATTAGACCCCCAAGCCAGATGTTTCCCGCTGCTACTCTAGTGCCCCCTCTGCCCCATCCCTCTTCAATTTGCAGCACCATATTAGTGTTTGTTTCAAAGCCTTTCATGGGGAGAAGCTGGAATGGGGTGTGATCCTTCCCATCTATTAAGCAATCCGCCTTCTTCCAAAGTAACAACTCAGTTTTATTTCCACCTCATTTGACTGAGACGTAATGAGGCCCGACTTGCATGTCTGGAGACACCTGAATTATGCATTTAATAGAAAGCGTGCAGTTCAGCGGCAAAAAATGAAAATAAAAATGAAGCAACCAATCATCAAATTAAGTTATTAAATTTAAAAGTGGGGGAGGGAAAGAAGCGTATTCTCTCTTTGCAGGAATCTCACTGTGCCTTCATTCAGCTGCTTGGTTTCTCAAAGGCAGAAAGCTCAGGATCGTGAATTGTTGCTTTAATTCCTCTTCCGACTCCTGTGACTCTCCATTACTTTTCGGAGGGAGGGGGGTGTTGGGAAGCCCCTCTCTAAAATGGATTTATGTCTGTTTGCTTTTTATTAAATCACTAAAAAAGGAAAATCATGAACCACAGCAGCAGCTAAATAATGTATTATCATTGCCAGAGGGGCAGGAAGACCGAAATAAAAACAAAATATGAGCGTCAAGGGGGAGGGGAGGGTCGGAGGCAACTGTTTTTCTTTGGCTGCGTGGAGCTGTCAGATGAAATGTGGGTATGCAAATGGATGTCTTGGAGAGATGCCGTCTCAACAGGCTTTCTTTTCTGGTTTAGGGAAGATTGGCGATTGTCAGAGTTTGGAAAGTTCCTTTTGAAAAGGAACCAGAACTAGTTCCAGTTCACCCCTTTAAGAAACAAACAAACAAAATACAGTGGTACCTCGGGTTACATACGCTTCAGGTTACATACACTTCAGGTTACAGACTCCGCTAACCCAGAAATATTACCTCGGGTTAAGAACTTTGCTTCAGGATGAGAACAGAAATTGTGCTCTGGTGGAGTGGCGGCAGTGGGAGGCGCCATTAGCTAAAGTGGTGCTTCAGGATAAGAACAGTTTCAGGTTAAGAACGGACCTCCGGAATGAATTAAGTACTTAACCTGAAGTACCACTGTAGTACAATCGCATGCTATGCAGAGGTTGAGTTCCAACAGTTCCTGGAATACATGAAAATGCATATATAGTCATACCTCGGGTTACAGACACTTCGGGTTGCGCGATTTCTAGTTGCGCACCATGCCGAACCCAGAAGTCCCGGAACGGGCTACTTCCGGTGCTTGCGCATGCACAGAAGCGCTAAATCGCGCTTTGTGCATGCGCAGAAGTGCCAAATCACGACCTGCGCATGCACAGACACAGCACTGAGGGTTGCGGATGCTGCGGGTTGCGAACATGCTTCCCGCATGGATCACATTCGCAACCTGAGCGTCCACTGTTCAGCCGTACCTTGGAAGCTGAACACCTTAGCACTGGTACATTTTGGCTCCCGAATGCCGCAAACCCGGAAGTGAGTGTTCCGGTTTGCGAAAATTCTTTGGAAGCTGAACATCCGGCGCAGCTTCCAATTGGCTTCAGGAGCTTCCTGCAGCCAATCGGAAGCCTCGCCTTGGTTGTCGAACCTTTTGGAAGTCAAACAGACTTCCGGAATGCATTCTGCTCAGCTTCCAAAGTACGACTGTACTCAGAGCCTTGGAACTGCCCCAACAAGAGCATCCTGAGGCTTCTGGAACTGGCCTGCCTGTAAATCCTTAGCCCCTTTTTCTGCCTTTCAAGAGAGGTAGAGAGCTTGAAAGCTCTCTGTTCAACAACTCTGGAAACCCTGAGGTTCTCTCATGAGATCTTGCAGGGCCATCTAAGTTCCCACAAGATCTCATGAAAAGAGCCCAGGACTTCTTGAGCTGGTGCACAAAGAAGGCCTCACTCCCCATGCAAGGCAAAGATCTTAAAAGCTCTTTAGCACCAGGTTTTCCTGGCACAAAAAAGAGCTTTTAAGCTCTCTTCCTTGCACCTGCATTTAGCCTGCAGGATTTCAAGTAGCTGGTCTTCAGGTGCATATTGTTAAAATTGTGGGACATTATAACAACAACAACAACAACTTATTATTTACACATCTGACTGGGTAGTCCCAGCCACTCTGGGTGGCTTCTAACACATTAAAATACAGTAAGACATCAAACATCAAAAACTTACCTATACTATTCCCTATTCAGATGTCTTCTAAAAGTCAGATATTTGTTTATTTCCTTGACATCTGGTGGAAGGGCATTCCACAGAGTGGGTGCCACTACCGAGAAGGCCCTCTGCCTGCTTCCCTGTAACCTCACTTCTCGAAGTGAGGGAACAACCAGAAGGCACACAGAGCTGGATCTCAGTGTCCGGGGCTGAACAATGGGGGTGGAGATGCTCCTTCAGGTATTCAGGTATTGCAGTCAAACCAACAATTCATGCTTTGCCAGATGGGCCCATGAAGGGGCTGAGTCTCACAGAGCTTCCCTGTAAATTTAGTAGAGAGAACTCTGTGAGATCACCTCCTTTGTGTGCCTTTGCAGGAAGCTAT